GGAAAATCATCGTAAATTTTGCATAAAAAGAAATAAATTATTTTCGTTTAGCGGTGTTTTTTGAAAATAACCCAACTGTTCAATGAATAATTTTCCCGCCAGGAATTTAATTGCCCGTACACGAAGATTACGCGTAAACGGAGACTGAATTTGAAGAATTAAGTTTTATTTAGATGGGGAATATTCTTCTAAAACTTGAGCCTCCCAACTTTTCTGGTTCTCGAGTAAGCAATTTTCCCGCCGAAATTTTCACAGGGCCGCACGTGACCTAGGAGCATACTTGGGGGCTGGGTTTGGAATTTTTAAGTTGTATACAGGCTGGAAACACCCCTTTAAAATTTCAGCCTCCTTGCTTTCCTGGTTCCCAAGTTAGTCATTTTCTTGCAAAAAAATTTCACGGGGCCATACTTGAGAACCACCGATGACTGGGGCTGAATTTGATAAATTTAAGTCGTATTTGGGCTGGGAACATTCCCTGGAAATTTCAGACTTCCACCTTTTCTGGTATCCGAATTAGTAATTTTTCCCCTGAAACTTAAATGTCTTCAAACACATGACATTCAAATGAAATTCTTCTATTCTTCTATTTCATACGCCCTTACGTGAATACCTGAGGGCTAGATCTGAAGTATTTAGGTTGTACTTGGACAGGAAATATTCCCGTAAAGTTTCAGCCTTCCAGCTTTCCTGGTTGTTAAGTTAACAATTTTCCTCCCAAAACTTTCATTCGCTCTTACGTGGGTACCACGCATACCTGGGAGATGAATTTGAAACCTTTAGCCAGTACATGCACAGGGAATACCCCTACAAAGTTTGAGCCCCCTAGCTCGTCTGGTTACCGAGATCGCCCTCCCGCCAAAAAATTTGCATATTTTTATAAGGGCCCCGTACACGGCGCCCAGGCGTCCGCAGGGGATGATATTGAAATAGGAGGGTCGCGCATGGTACGGGCACATATTCCCAAAGTTTCAGCCTTCTATCTTTCCCCGTCCCCGAGTTATCAATTTTCCCGCTAAAACTTTCACCCCTCGTACGCTGGGCCCAGACGTGCGCGAGGGATGGTACCGCGGTTCTGGGGTGGTACTTGGCCAGGGTACACGATAGCAAAATCTCGGCGCTGAAACATGCTTGGTTGTCGAGTTGAAATACCCGGACAGACGAACACACACACACACACACACAGACAGGGTCGTCTCAATATGCGTTTTTGCAATGTGCATATAGGCCAAAACGCATAAAAAGCTCACCAAAAAAGCGTTTT